CGTACTTATAAGTCCTGATTTTAAATGGGTTTGAAATTCTTATCTCAATCCTATCCCAATAACGGGTTGGGTTGGACCGTCCCCATAGACTAAGGACAAAATGGCACAACATGACACCCTATAGACTAATTAGCAATAAATAGCCCACTTTTAATTTTTTAGCAAGAAAAAAACTTTATTTTATTTATTTGGCATTGAATTGTTATTTTTCTTTTCTTTTTAAAAAATGTATTTTTGTCCTCCTTATTTTTCTCAAACACACGTTTGATTGCTGCTTTTTTTTTCTTGAATTTTTTTTATTGTTTTATTATCTCTATTTTATCTCTTTTTTATTATTATTTTGTCAACAGTTTTAAAACAGAATTCTTCTCCTTAATTCAATATGTTTATGAAAATCAGATATAACAATATGTTTTTTCATGGATACTTCTAAAAATCATCTTTATATATAATCTTATTTTTGTCCAATTAATTGTGAATTTCATGATTTGTAGAATTGAAGTTTTTGTGAAAATTTAGGTTATTCAACCTTCTTTTGTTTTCTTTCTAAAATCCTTTTCATATGTATATTTGCTTCTCTTCTAAATTTTCTCTTATTCTCCTTAATTTACTTTGTCTATGCAAATCAGATATAACTGTATGTTTATCTATTGATCCTTCCAATAATTTCTTTTAATATATAATTATGTAGCATTTCTTGCCCCATTAATTTTGAAATTTCATGATTTGTGGAACTAAAGTTTTTATAACTTTTTTTGCGAAAATTCAGGTAATAGTTTTTTGAAATTTTTGTTCTCAATTTCATGGGTAAGAAAGATTCTCGTTAGATCTTCGTAAAAAATCAAAATGTTGATTTTGATGAATACAACCCAATGTATACCAATGAATTCCAATCTCAATTTAAATTAAAGTATAGAAGTTTATATATGAATACAAATCACTGAATACACGATGAATATGAACTAATGTATACATAATGCAGTTACCGTATACATAAACAAAATCACATGTACAATTAATGAATAAAATTTATATATGTATCATATTAATCTCATTCTTGTATTCATTATAGTAATACGTATAATTGATGGTAATATTCTTATGTATACAATATAAAGTTTATGTATACATGCTACAATTACTGTATACATCAATAAAATTTACACGTCTATTTTTATGAATAATTTTTTGTGAATACATATTTGTTTTATGTATACATTATGTAATCGCAACTTTAATTATTGTATAATTTATGCATATGTATTATTACATTTTCTAATAAAATGTCATTTAATATTATATGATTAATTATTATCGTTTATGTGATAATTAATACACGTTAGAGCATATAATACATTTTCTTACCTTAAAAGTAGTCACAATCTTTTAATAAGTTATTTAAAGAATTTTCAAAAATTCATTCCTTAAAAGTTGGTGTAACCTTTTTTTAATGGGTTAATTAATAAATATATATATATATTTCACTTCTTAAAAGTAGGCAATCAGTTTTCTAATAAACTAAGTATTATTGATTGGTAAAAAAAATTTCATAAAATTACAATCAAATATATCTTTATGTTTCTGTAAATTGTGTTAATATATTTTTAAAAATAGACAGTTACACAAAGTTGAGTTTGAGAATTTAAAAAAATTGAAAAGCTAACTTCCTTAATTATAGGAGTTAAAAACAAGGAAGAAAAAACAATCCCACATCTCCTTAATAATGCGGGTTGGTTGCACATGATTAAAAACTATAAAAAGTTGGTTTTATTTCTTTTAGGTTAATACGTGTTAATTTTGTTTTAGGCTATTAATTGCTAATTAATTTGGGCTATATATTACCAATTATATATAATAGTTGTATATCTGTGTCAATTCCTCTAGACTAAGCCCATATTGATAGTTTTAAGTATTATAGTTGATTTAAGGGGAAACTACATAAATGGGTTATAAAATCTAAAATAATTACAAGTTCATACTCAAACTCAAAGACCACACAAAATCAGAATCTGGAGTTGCTGGAGAGATCTTGGCGGAAAGAATGCGAGCATTCCGGGACATCCTTTTCTACTTCAGTTGAAAGGAGGAAGGTTAGGGTCGGAAGGGGAGAAAAATAAAAAAAGCAGGGGAAAAGAAAGAGATACTCACATAGAGCTACAACAACAAATAGGACTTGGCATTTGGTCGAGACCACGTTGGCAACCACTGCATATACCCAAGAATACCACTAAGAAAGAAAAGAAGGTTAGATGATGTTTAGACATCTTCCAGGAGGAAACAAGTTGAAGGAGGCGGAGTGCAATAAGGAGATCAAATAGGAAACCTACCACTTAGGATCAATGGTCCATTTTAGTATATACCAAATCAGTATATATATATATACTCTTAGGGGTCGTTTGATTTGAAAATGAGTTATGTTGGGATAAGTTATGTTGGGATTAGTTATGATTGGATAAGTTATGTTGGGATTAGTTATGATTGGATAAGTTATGTTGGGATTATTTTTTATTGAGTGTTTGGTTTGTTGTATTCAAAATAATAAATTTTAAGAACAATTTATTTGTTTACAAAAATGCCCTTCATTAATGTAAAAAGTGATATAACAAAAGGGTTGAAAGAGACATTTTTGTCATTTACCTATTTTATCCCGGGATAAGTTATCTCGGGATTACTATACCACCCAAGGAGAGGGATAACTTATCCCGGTACTAATTATTAATCCCGGGATAAGTTATCCCGAACTTGCCAACCAAACAACAAAATAAGCAGTACTATAATTTAATCCCGGGACTATTTGGTATTATCCCTCACACCAAACGAGCCCTTACAGTATTATTAACTAATAAGTAATTTTAGAACAAGAAACCTTAAATGATACAAATATAGCGTATATATACTGATTTGGTATCAATTAAACGAAATTATCAGCCTTAATGATATCAATATAGTATATAATATTGATTTAGCATCAACTAAGCGAAATTAATTGGTGGGTATATACTATTATTATTTAGTGGAATATGAATATAAAGGGGTATAAGTTTATAATTATTTTGCTTTTATGGGGTATTTGTTTAGTTAATAAGTGACAGCATATGAAAAATTAATCAACTGAATTAGTGTATAGATGATTAATGCAGAAAAATAATAGAGAGCATTGATGACTGAGATTAGAGGGTAAGGGAAGGCAAAAGGCTTATAAATTTCAAGTTTTTTGAGTCAGGAGAAGACGCGCCAATGTGAACATCTTGAGATTGAAATTAATAGAGGAAGGAAATTTACTAAAATGAGAAAGTGAAGGAGAATTGTCATGTTCTTTTTTGTGCAAAATTGGATTTATTTTTTTTTTAAAAAAAGACAATAAATCAAATAAATAATTGCAAAAATTAGATATTTTAGCAAACATAAAGTAATAGTTGTGGGTTTTGATAACCTCCGGAATATAACTCCAAAAACCACCACAAAATAAATTAAATTGTGACGATTTTCAAACCACCGCAATTTTAATTATTTTTTTAGTGAATTTCTCAAAAATAGCATATGCACCGTTATAATGGGGTAATAGCATTTTATATTGATACAAAATATATCTACCTTTTCTTTGATTGAATCTCATCTAATATCTTCTTTGACTTTTAGTTGTCATAGTTTCCTTTTTTAGAGTTAAACTATAAAAAATTTGACTAATATTTTACGATATTTTTTTTATCATATTGATATGCAAAAAAATTGTAATTTATAATATTTTTCGTATAGTTTTTGAATATCTAAATTTTTTATTTAAAATATCAAATTAATATAATCTAATTTAACTTTGAAAATTAGTCAAATTGACTTTCGAAAAGAGTAACATGACAAATAAAAGTGAACGGAGGAGTATTATTTTAAGAAATCTCATTAATTATCTCTTAAAGCTTGCGATCTTTATTTAGTTACCTTAACATTCCGCCCCCGCCCCCTCCCACACACACCCCACCCCTACCGTAATGACACATTAGAATCATCTATGATTTCTAAAACATTAATCATCAAATTCAGCAAGAAAATAGTCTAAAATGTTGGACAATTCTGAGAAATCCCCATAGAGGCAAAGTTACTAACAAATTTTTCGACAACTTGTAGTGAGATCCCCAATAAATGTTAACGGCTATAATAAATCAATTGTCACCTTCAAAAGGACCCGAATACCGCCAAAAACGAGTGCAGTCCAAATTCTTGATTCAGGCCTCTATCCATATCTAATACCCCTCGTTGTTTTATTTCTATCCAAACTTTTTTAAAAAGGCTCTCAACACAATAAAAATATTTGAAATCAATAATACAAATTCTTTAAGTTGAACACACTTTTTACTATTTGGTGAATGTGTTTTTCCCTTAGATTCATAGGAACATTTTCATACAATATTTTTATCTATGTTTGACTAAAGTGGGCGTGAGAGGAATGGTTAGAGTACGAAACTTCAAAAACATATTAATATTATGTACGATATTGAAAGGAGGATTAATTGATTCTAAAATATAGAAGATAGTTTTGTTTTTTTGTTTTTTTGTTTTTTTCAGCCAAATTACTATATACCCAAACACATATTTATTTAATTTGCTCTATTATTATGATAATAGTACCAATGATAATTGATACTTATTCCTTAATCGAAATTTTAAGTTCTTATTTTCTTTAGATCTGCTTATCTACTATGTACTCTCTGTTCTAATTTATATGACTTACTTTATTTAATAGGTTAGAAGGAGTATTTTGGAAGTCATATTCTTGACGTATTTAATTTTTTAAAATAGGAATTAAGTATTATTTTTTGAAAAAACACTTGTAAAGGCAAGTAATTAAATATATGTGATCCTTAACATTATGAATTCGAAAAATTCTATTTAACCACTAAAATTGTACTAACCACAAAGATGCACTCCTTACTTACATGTTGGCCCTTATCTTATAACTGCCCCAACAAGTTTTTAGATGATAGGAAGAAAAAGTTGTGATTAGTACGACGAGAAGGAAAAAATGTCGAAGGTGGTGGTTTCCTCCATAATCACCGCCTTCGTCTTTCTCGTTGTACTATTCACCCAATTATTCATCAAATTGAATCACAAAGACGGATATTACACACCTAATGGCTTGAGCAGGCGATTAGGACTCAAATCTCGTGACCCAATTTTTGATCCTCTTGTTGCTGAATTGGAGCAAAAGACTAAGGGAAAATCAAATGATAATTCGAGTAGGAGATCGCGTAAGAAGGAGGATGAAAAGTATTTTGATAATGATGGGAGATTGAAAACTAGTTTGAGATTGATGGTTTTGTTTCCTATTTTGGACGTTGCACCTAAAGATGGATTTATTGAGTATAAAGAGCTTGAAATTTGGAATACACAACAAGCTATTGATCGATTGCATTATAGGACTTGGAGAGAAATGGAGTTTAGAGATAAGGATGGAGATGGAGCTATTTCTTTCTTTGAATATCTCCCTCAATTTACCAATGAAGACTTAGGTAATTCATTTTCACTCAAGTAAGAATTAATCGCAGGAATGAGAGTCTTGACGTAACTGATAAAGTTGTTTCCATGTGATCGGGATCATGGGTGTGAGATATAAAAGCATCCTCTTGTAGAAATGCTAGATAAGGTTGTGTACAATATAATAGACTCTTGTGATTTGATTCTTCTTCAGACTTCACTCATAGTGAAAGTTTAGTGCATTAGATATCTTTGCCTTTTTTATGAATTAATTACGAGTACAATATTGTTGGGCAAAGAGATCCCAAAGATATAAACTACTACTTAATATGGTCGCTATGGTTTTCCCCGAAATGCCTCACCATTATTTAGCTAGAGTAATTTATTTTCACTAAACTATGAATTAATTACGAGAATACGTAATTGGTTAAGTTGTCTTCAGAATTCGTGATGTAGAAACAAACTCTTGTAGAAATACAAGAAAAGGTTGTATGTCTAATACTCTTGTGATCCTATCATTACCCAAATTACGCGCATAATGAGAACTTAGTGCATCGAACTGTCCTTTTTTCTTTTTATGAATATCTGCTAATGAACTCAAATTTGGGTCATCTTAAATTTACAGAGAAAAATGAGACAAGCCATGGAGATGCAGGATGGTGGATGGCACAATTCAGAAATGCTGATGCTGATCAAAGTGGAACTCTAAACTTATATGAATTTAGAGAGTAATTAACTTTTGCTTCTTTTTTTTTTTATAAAAAAAAGGTGTGAAACATAAATATTAATATCAACCTTTGTTTATGTCATTTTAAAGTTTAAATCTTCCTGATGCAGTTTTATGCACCCTGAAGATAGCAGGAACGAACAAATACAAAGGTGGTTGTTGAGAGAAAAAATAAGGTTAGAATGTTTTATTAATTATATATATCGTCAATACATAAAATTTATATTTGAAATATGTTATTGGTTATAATTTTTTGTCTATTATCAATAGTAGTTTATTTTAATTACTTTTAATTACTAGGCAAATGGACGTAAACAAGGATAATATGCTAAATCGATTGGAATTTAGTAACGGTGCTTACAATATTTATAAGACTTACCTTGAATATGAATCTCAAGGAACCAATATTCCAACACCATTTCAAGCATTCGCCAACCTTGACTATGATGGTGACGAGTAATTATTCTTAATTCATATCACTTGTTAATTTTATTTATTAGATACTATAATTAAGTGAATTATGTAATTAATTATTATTTTTTGTATGTTAGATTTCTGAGAGTGGAAGAATTGAAACCAATTCTGCAATATTTATGCCCCGGAGAACTCTCCTACGCTAAAGTGTACACAACTTATTTGATTCGAGAGGTAAGTCCGATCGATCTGTGAAACAATATATTATATTATGCATTATATATTTTTGATTGATGAGGTTATGGGATTTGAGTCAATCACTAATACTTTGCATTGTTTTTTGTGTGTAGGCTGATGATGACAAAGATGGTAAATTGACATTGGATGAGATATTGAATCATGAAAGTATTTTCTATAGTACTGTTTATGATAACGGTAGAAATGAAGATATTTTCCACGAAGAACTATGATTTATGGTATGTCATGTATTCAATGTAAATGTAAGCTAGGTTGATTCAGATACTCATATAATAGATATGAGAATCAGATCCTTTTTTTTCTTATAGGCTTTCTGTTTCTCTTGTTTATTATAATAATCATCCCCCAAGAACCTCTAACATTTTTACTAACGAACACTCTGCACTTTTGTACATAAATGATATTTGTTTCATCTTTTCTTTTTCTTACTTAATATAAATTAGGGCGTGTTTGGCACGTACAAGGAAAATATCAGTTCATGAAAATTGTTTTTCCTTAAGTTATTTTGTTATTTATTTTATGATGGTGTTTGATAAGTGCACATATTCCAAAAATATTAAAAGAATAAATACTCCTATATAATCTTAGACAAACACTCTCATGTGGGATGGGGTCATGCGTTGGAGGGGATGAGGTGGAGTGAAATTTTAGGTGTACTTTGTTTTTTTCTAAAAAAAATATGTCTAATTCAAAAATATTTTCTCAAAAAAGTTCTCCATATTTAGCTAATAAGTGATCGTTTGGTTTACTTTATGAGATTATTTTATTTATCACGTCTTCTCTACGAAATAACTTATTCTATTATTTATACTAAAATTCTTGAATAAATAATTCATGGACAAAAGAATACTCATTACTAAACACATAATAAAATAATCTCATGAAATATCTCGAGATTGTTATTCTTATCCCACCAACTAAACAATCTCTTATAGTTTGAGTTACTTTATATACTCCTATATATGCAACTACTATAAATCTAAAATTCCAATCATCAGCCAATTAAAGGTTCGAAGGATTTAGCTTAACCATTTGATAAACCTAATCATTTGAAGGCCCGCAGCAAATGGATTAATAAAATTATTTCTAGCCATTTTTACTGAACGAAGAAATTAACCTTACCATTACCATATTGTTATATTTTATCATTCTCGGTAGTAGTATATATTGTGCCGCGATTAATCGAAGCTTCAATACAGTTGTTGAGGTGAGGGAGATTATGTTAGCTAAAATTTTATTTTTATTACTGTCAACAGGAGATTATATATGTTAATTCAAAGAGGCAGTTAATCATTTCAACTCGAGCCATGAGGTCAAGCCAGCTGATCATAGTTCAACAAGAAGCAGTTAATTAATTAATTAATAGCGTTGAAGTTAGTTGAATGCTAGCTGAAGGGAGGAAATTAATCTTGCTAGTTATATACTAGTAGCTAATTAATTATCATGCATTAGCAGTAGCTAATCGTTTTTTTAATGTATATATAATACATTTTACTTGTATATACCTTGATGAATAAGAATACAGTTAGAATCCTTCTCTAATTTCTTTCTTCTATCTCCTAAGTCCTGTCATTGCAATTCATCTTCTTAGAGCTTATTCATTACATGTAAATGATCGTTTGGTAAGAGGAATAAGATCCACTAAGAATTTTGAAATAAAATGTGCATTTGGTTATTTTAGGAAAAACTACACTTATTGGACATAAAAACAAACCAATTATCCACCCATAACCCATTCTTAATTAACTCTTTTTATGTCTTTTCAGCCTAAATTATGGGAATTGTCAAATATTTCTAGTGTATTATTTAACACAACTATATATAGTTCACATAATTATTGATCACGGCTATAATTTAATGAAATTTTCTATTAAATTCGAGATCCACTAAGCTGATTTGTATCAGGATTAAGAAGGCATTCTCACCTGATTTGTATACCTTCTCTATACAAATCACAATTTATCTCTCCTTTCTCCACTTATTGATTTTTCTCCTAAAATTTCTCAATTATATCAAATTTGAATTTTGAATGCTCTCTTTCTCCCTTCTAATCGTGACATCTCAATTCCAGGTAACCATCTAAACATGTTTCAACCAACTCTTTTTCTTTTCGTTTGTATATAGAGAATCTCATGAATTTGTATGAACCCTATTTGTATACGTCTTAATAATTAGTTATCATATTGTACATATATGTATGTATTTGTGTATATACAAACTTTCATTTTTGGTGTTTGGTTTTATATATTTTTTTATTGTATATTTTTTTGGTATATTATCACCCACAATACCTTATACAAATCAATTGTATAATTTCAACACTTATATACAATTACTTATTTATCTATATTAATAGTTTGTATAAACAAATAATTGTATATAATATGTTATTTGTTTAAACTCAATTTGTATAATTTATACTTAAAAACAACGATATATACAAACGAAAATGAGCATAGCAATTGGAACTATAACTATGGAGCGTAGTTAGATAAACTATAGTTGAGGAGGTTTATTATGTTTCGTCTCTTAACGATTTATGAAAGCTTAGCCCCCTTCCTAGCTTAGCCCCAATTCGCCTTTAGTTTATTTGATGCCATCACAATTAGGAGTGACAAAATCAAACTCAACTCTTCAACCCGTTCAATCCGTTTAAATTTGAGTGGGTTATGACTCACCCATTTATTAGCTCAATCCATTTCAACCCATTAAAAATTGGGTTGATATATAACTTGAATTGACTCATGAGAAGTTTTGTCAATTTTTTTTCAATTTGATATGTTATATAAAGCCATAATAAAGAATACTATAATTTTATTAGGTACTAAAATAGTTTAAAGAACAAATAAACAATTAAGCTTAGTAAAATTGGGTTGGGTTGGGTTGAGCTTTTTTTTGGTTATATAACCCATGACCTAACTCATTTTGACCCAAGCAAATATGAGTTGAGTTGGATCTTGACCCGATTATTGTCTTAACCGATCATGACCTGCACAAATTAAACCCAACACACCTCGTTGGATGCCACCCCTAATCATTATATATGATGATATCATTTAACATTTGTGCATTTTTTCTTGAATGATTGTTATGGTATCATTGAAGATTTTAGAAGTGTCTCATCAAGAACTGCAAATTAACTTGATAAAATATTGGTTGTTCTTCAATTATACAATTTTAATATCATGATAATATATGAATATATTGTGAGAATATCACTCATGTATCATCAAATGACTTAGAATTTTTTTTGTAAAACCATCACAATATATATATATATACTATGATAGTATCATTCAATATATGTGACATTTTATATTATGCAATATACTTTTATGGTATCATTGAGGATTTTAGAAGTCTCTCAAAAAGGATTGATATCATTCAATATCATGCAATATAAAATTATTATTTTTTATAATTAAAAAAATATGAAGTTTTAACTTTTGAGGAAAACCCACCATTTCCATCGCAAAAAACCACTCAAATCATCATCATTTTCACCATAACAAATATACATTCACTTTTTTATATATAAAAACTAAAATGATTTCATTGAAACATTTTTCTTGTGTAGTGAATTGAACTCTCATGATATATTGGAATGAGCTCAAGGATGCATCATTTTTATGAATATTATATTATCACAAAGATATTACTAATATCAATATTTAAAAAATTGGTATATTAATCTAGAAGACATCATTTACAAGAACTTAATAATATTTTAATTGGGAAGGTATAATACATATGTACTCTGTTTTCATCAGCTGAAATTTTGTTCCATTGAATTTCTTGATTTTTTATTTTATGTAATGAGGCAGCTAACAATGTATATTACTAAATATGTATACCTTTTTTCATGCACTTAATTTTTTTGGAAAAATTAGTTAACTAGTCAAAATCCTTAACAAAATTACTAAAAACATCTACACTTTAAAATAATTATTAAAAATGCCAATATGTCAATATTTTAGCAAATAAAGTGTATCTTAAGTTAGTTCCTAATTTATCTCACATTAAGCCACGTTTCAGCCATCACGTTCTCTCTTTGAAAAATTTTCTTCTCTCATCTAATTCCCTCTTCTAATTGTTCTTCAATTTTTAATCTCCCATTTCTCTCTAATCAATAGGTGCCATTTTTTTTCTTCAGAAATTGAAAAAAATATCCCAAAATTTTGTTCACAACAATCCCATTGATTCAAGTATGTATCTTTTTGTGATTTTTAGATTTTTTTTAACCAATTTGTGTTTGTTTAAATCATTCAAAATATTTGTTTGTTTAGTTGCTTAGTAAATTCTTCAATTTCGATTAGGGCTTTAGATAAGGAAAACTTCAAAGATTCCTCTCTAATGGCGGACTCAAAGAGGATTACAAGAGGTATCCCATTTAATTATCAATTTTCTAGCGATTTTCATCCTTTGATCTATGTATTACTCAAGGACTAGTCGACAATGTAGGCTCGGCAGCGAAAATGGCGGAAGAGAAAATATCTAAGCATACACATGTCTCTATCGGCATAATTACATTGTATTCCACAAAAAATGAACACAAAATCATCAATAAATACAAATTCACATTCATAACAAAAATGTATTCATGATTGAGTTATGTATGTATTTTACTTTCATAGTGAAAAGTTAAAAATAGTATCTCAATGATTAAAATTGTATATTTACATGACTACCAAATATATATTTCTTTTATTTGTATTACAAAAATATTATTACTGATTGTATCCAATATAATCTAATCATTACATGTGAATACGATTTAAGAACGGATACAAGATTCTGAAAAAAAATATAACATGCATAGTGAAAATAATATAATTTGTTGATGAATGATATAACATTCTTAAAAAATACAAATTGTTTGGCATACTTATTGAAATGACTATAAACTAAAAAAGAAATACAACATTCTTAATAAAAATACAAATGTTGAGTAAAAGAAAAATAATTGACAAACAAAAATTAATATGAATACAATTTTTGTAACCTTCTTCTCTGACTCTCTCTTCCTTAATTCTTCTTCGTCTGCTATATTTATTTTTTCCAATTTTTTGTTCACCAAATTCAAATTTGAATCCGTATTCACTTTTGCATTGGTAAAACTCTATCTCGTCATCCATAAAAAATTATAATTACCCAGGAAAATTTTAAAAAAATCATGTCAAACTTCCAAACAAATTAATAATTCAACAGTTAATAAATA